TATATTATATTATACACAAATACAGGTCTATTCACAAAAGGGTGAAGAGTTTGGAGAAAGCAGAAGTAAACAATCCAGGACAGCATAGCTCAACTGGAAAAATTCTCCAAGGTTCAGCTCACTTTCCAGATCAACTATGTTGTCCTAGATTGTTCACTTCTCCAAACTTCACCCTTTTGTAAATAACCCTGATAGTATTTATTATTATATTTAGGTATTGTATCCTTTACTTTTTTATGTTGTTCTGCCTCATCTGTACTTGTGTATTTTATTATATTTTAATTCACAGTTTCAATGTAGATTGTTTATTTAACAACAAAAAAACGACTTTGTTTCCTTTAGGTCTCCTTGCTGGTCTGAAGATGAGAAGATATGTGCCAGGAATGTAAGCAATGAAGTGCACTTCTTTGAAGACAACAATTTTGGTACGATAATTAACAGAATATGAAAAGAATACCAACTGTTCAAATTCTCACAACCTAAAATGAGTACAGAAAACCAGATTTACCCAAAATGTGAGATGCATTTCACAAGTGATACAGGTCCTTTCTCTGATTGTTACACATCTGATATTTGCGATACACCTACATAACTAATCACAAATGTTGGGTATAATGTCGGAACTTTCATTCTGCGGCATATAGATCACCTAAATATGTAAAGTAGATTGTTAATTAAACACTCTTGTCTAGCAGAAACGATAGTTGAATTCTAAACTTTTTAGTTTTTTTAAGTGCTACGTTGACAGCAATGAATGTGTATATATTTCATTGTTTTTAGACTTTCACAGTTAAGTAGAAGATAATATTGTTTTTTCTTGCCAGATACCATTGCAAATAAACTACACTTACAGAAAGTAAGCGATTTTGAATTGTCACCTGGAGATCATCCTTGCAAGGTAGAGTATCACCATGTTATTTCATGGCTAATGGTTAATCAAAAGGTAGAGGCAGTTTGTTTCAGTAAATAAAGTTGTGTTCACTGTGTAGTTATAAAGATCTGCCTTGTTAAGTATAATAAGACTTGAAAACCTACTACTTATAAAAGTAGAATGTGTATGTCTGATAATGCTTACCCCCTATCACTCCATTTCTAGCCTTTCAGTCTGGTCACTGAACCTCTGATTATTATTAAAGTGAACAAGTACTTAGGTGTCAACAAAACTATCCTAAGGCTTCATTCACACTGCTAAGAGCTGGCCCATACAGATCCGTGCGGCGTGCACGGCCGTATCGGGCTGCTCCGGGGAAGGACAGGTGCTGCATGTGATTGTACGCAGCAGCCTGTTCTCTATGGGAGTACGCTGACATATGTTCACCCGAAGTGCACATCCGTGAGGGTGTCTGTGCTCGGACGCAGACAGGATCCATCCTGTTTGCGTACGAGTACGGACATCGGCACAGATGTGCAGCTTGGGTAAGAGTACGGCCGCATACTCCCTGAATGAGGGCTTAAAGGAGAGTTATGGGGTGAGTGAACTCACTCATCCCCATAATTCAAGCCGACCTGTGACAAAGAAGCTGTCGCAGGTCGGCACTGTTGATCGGAAAGTCAGCAAACACACCGCCGATCGTTGACTTCCCGATCCTCTCTCTGCAGAGTGGTGACTGTCAGTCACTGCTCCCTGCAGGGATTCCCCCCTCCCCTCTCTGTTTCTCCAGCACTGACTGGAGGAATGGATGGGGAAGGGGGCGGACACAGCTGGCTCTGCCTCTACAGAGGCGGAGCCCGCTGTCAATCAGCCAGCTGAGTGGATCCCGACAGCACTATCGTGATCCACAGTATATGTCCTCCTGTGACCCTGAGAAGAACTATGGGCAAAAAAGTTCTCCTCCTTAGTTCTTTAACAGGATATCCCTAGCAGTCTTGCTGGGATGGATGAAGGGCTGAAATATCTTTTCCAGAGAGAGAATGTTGCTCTGGGTTCCCTACAGTGCTAATCACATGCGTCAAGTTCCAATCATTTGGTTAAGCGATTTCTGCTGATTTCAGCCATTCAGAAGCCTTTTCCGTAGGCCTCATGTAACCAAGAAGCAGAAACATAAGACCTGCAGTTTGCACAGAAGGGGAGCCAGAAATATAATAATATTTCATTGCCACAGAAGTAAGTCCTACATCTGTGTCAGCACCAGCATGTACACAAGCTCTTGGCTGCCGTAGCTAATAGAAGTGATTTGGGTGACTGATACACTTCTACAGTGTATGTAACGACAACCTTCCCCACCTCGAGGTTACCTGTACTTCCTGGTTTTTTAAAAGAAAAAAAGAAAAAAAACTTTAAGTTTAAAAAAAAAAATGCAACCCAAAAATGTAAAAGCCTCCACCCCAACGTTGCTGCACATACAAACACGCACGTCAGGTATGTAGGCGTATGAAAACCCTCATTTTGCCACTCGTATTGGGTATTGCTGTGCATGCTTTAGTAAGAGTTATAATTCTAGGACCATCATTCACTGTTAACTCTAAACTGAGCTGCAAGGGCTTTTAAAGCAAATTCTCCTTTTTGAAACTTTTGTTTACATAATCCTGCAGTAACCTAAAAGACCGTGGACTGTGTGGTTGAGTTTGGATGGGGAACTGGTCTACTGTAGCAACCAGTCAGCTTAATGCTCTCGTATTTCAACAAATGGGGGAATAAAGCACAGTTCCAGGATTCTAACTGTGTATTTCCCAATCCATTGCAAAAAGAATGGATTGCCATTTACTGGGTTAAAAAAACTCAAGGAAATAGATCCTCGAAGCTGTGCTGTTACTTTTGATGATTTTTTTTAAATTCTTTATTTTAAAGTTTTCATAACACAGATAATCACATAAAACCCATAGGTTCACAACAGACACGTCATCTATTATACAGCTTCTTCAAATAGTAAACTAGGTTGGGCCTAGCCATCCCTCAAGTAGAAAAAGAATCCTGAGTATTGTAAGAGTACATTTAACGGGTCTGGAGGCAGCATATAGACAGACAAATACATAATGGAAAAGGGAGATCACAGTGGCAGTATCACATCCCAACGAGTGAGACGTACGGTGCTTCAGAGCTAAGTGCAGTCAGTATAAGCTGTCTATTAAGAGCGAGGTTGCCCTAGGGCGTTATGCAATTGCTGGCCACTGTGAGGTAGCAGGGAGAGTCCGGTCAAGGACAAAACAGGAAGTTAGGACTAAGGTTGTTGGTGGTGCACAATGGGAAAAGAGGTTCATCTTCAATCATTAAGTTCCAGCGTAATTCTAGACTGTAGACGGTCAGACAAGACAACATAGCCACATGCGGAGAACATTTATGAGAACAAGAACCAGTAGGATGCAGTAGGGACAGAAGCGGAAACAGGCAGAGGGGCACAGGGTATGTTAGGATCCAGCGGGGGGAGTGAGTCTCCCCCTCTCAACGAAAAAGAGGCTCTTTATGAGACCATCAAGGTACTATATTCTGGATATAGAGGAACTTCAGCCAGTAGTTACTTTGATGTTTGCTTGGATATCTTTTGGATAATGCAGCCATCCCATCATCCTCCACCCTTGTCGTTCCCAGCATCTTCTAAAGCAAGGGTTAGGATTAGCTGCAGAGGTATAGTTCCGCTTTAATCACAACCACTCTGCACTCTCATTAGTCTAGGCTGACTCTCTAATGAAAATATTTAAAGTGCAATATTTCATTGGTGTTGACAATATAAGCACAGCTGATCTTTTGCAACCTATCTAGGTAGCAGTGTATGTTCCTGGAAGCAAAGGAGCGCCATCATTTGTAAGACTTTACCAATACCCTAACTTCAGCGGACCGCACTCTGCACTAGCAAATAAGAGTTTCTTCAAAGCAGACCGGGTGATCATGCTATGGAATTCAAAAGGTAATTGTTATCTAATAAACAGTGCATCTTATACATTGAATAAGAGTGCTTGGAGCACTTTCTTTTAAGGGAATGTGTAGCTTTTTTGTAGATATACTGTACATATGAATGTGATCAGTCTAAAGCTAACCTGTGCTTTGCCCATGCATGGCAAATTAACGGGTCCTTAATGCTCCCCTCCACAGCAACACATACTCAGCCCCATTAAGCCAACAAAAGTAAGGAAAGGCTGCCCTGTGTACATTTCCAGTCCTTGTAGTTGGAGATTGCACAGAGTTGAGGGCTTTCTTCCCACCTTCAGATCACAGCCTTGGGCTAGTCACCATGCTGCCCCATACCTGAAGAAGCTGGCACTTTCTTCAATCCTGGCAGTTGAATAAAGCAGAGGATGGTGTGAAAATGGGAATTACCTAAAGTAACCCTGTGCTGGAGTGAGAGAAAAATATTGTGGTTAAAAAACATTCTAATAGTTGTAAAGTAAGTAAATAGCAAGTAAACCATATGTAAAATGGCCTTACCTAATAAATGCAGGGGTCCCCCAGTGACGATTTACAGGGTTGGAAGGCAGGAACTTGGTTGTTCATGGAAATCTGCATATTTCAGTTCCTTGGGTTTTGGGGCATCCAAGGTGCTGAGAATTGAAATGAAGGTACATGTAGGTACTGGAGTGACTGCAATTAGTTTATGATGGAAGTGGAGGTAGTTTTATAAACTGGCAGGTTTACTTTATTTACTACAGTCGTGATCAAATCTCTTGGGTACAATATCCTCCAGCAACATGTCATTGTGAGTGTTTACGGGGCAGTCAATTTAAAAATGCCTCAATACTGTTCCTAGTCTACCATGTAATCCATTTACTGCATTGCTGTAGCTTGTGTCCTTGTTCTGCAGATAGCATTGTATTATGATTCCACAAGGTCTTTACAAGGCAAGAAATGAATGTTGTCATAAAACTGAACTATGCTTCATCTTTTCCTCTGGTCATTTAAGCTCCATTACTTCCCCTTGTCTCACCTTAAAACTCTGTTTTATGTTTCTTATGTAACAGCCAGTGCAGTACTAGTCACTGCCAGCACTGACGTGGACAAAACTGGAGCCTCTTACTATGGGGAGCAGACGCTGCACTACATTGCAGTCAATGGGGAAAGTGCCGTTGTACAGTTACGTAAGTGTGATGAACTTTATTCTGTATAAAATTATAATGTGGAAAGAAACAAGAAAAGTATGTTCTTGCCGGCTTCCTACATAACCGAACAGTTATGCTTATGTATGAAAAGTCAGTCCTCCTTTCATTTTCAGCTCCGCACTTCAGAAATGACAGTTGGAAGTGGACTGTCTTAGTAAAGCTGAACTCCAGGGAAAAAATAAAAAGCCGTTCCGTTATATTTTTGTCTACATAAAATATTTTTAAATTATACACCTATATACATTTTATGCTAATGTTCCCATTCACTGCAGAAGAGGGAGAGCCAGCACATCAAGAAGGTTCTACTGTACAGTGCTAATCAACACTCGGAGCTTCCTCACAGCAGGTTGGAGCAAAGTGACCTAAGCAGTATGCTGCTGTTTCATTTTCCTTTCATCGAGCTGTGGGGAAAGATGGTGACCAAACTATTTTGGTTAAATATAACAAAAAATAGGTCACTCAGCTGGTTATGCAGAATTGCAGGGGAGACAATGAAGTTCAGCCTTCATTTTTATTTTGAACCCATATCCTAATCATTAATGCTGCATATGGATAGGCTGCTTTGTTGTCCACTTAGATAAAGATTAGACTGACGCTAACAATACAGTTCTAGTGTAAGACACATCTGTCATATTGGTTGCAGACATTTTCCAACTTGCGACAGCAGGTAAGTTGAGCTCCGTCCCCACCCCCTCCACAACACGCTGTTGTCTTGGGACATGCAGAGGGAGAAGACGAGATAAAGACAGCAGAGTGGAGGAGAGGGGGAAGAGGATTGAGCTGAACTGATAATCTTAGTGCTGATGTGCTATGTGTATTGTCTGGAGTCGGCAGTGTGGAGGAGAGAGTGGAGGGGGCGAAGGACAAACTGTGGCATGGATGGGATGTGTAAGTGTTCGTAGACCAGTAACATGACATGAATAAACTTTGATAGGATGTGCCCTGAGCTGCTGCACCTCCACAGGTTCTCATGAACGTGCAGCAGCTCCTACCAGCTGCTGTCATTTAATAAGAGAGGAGGATCCCGAAAATATTGTCGGAGTTGCTTCTCAGCACAAAGCTTAGCCCTGCCCACAGTATATTACACTAGATTGTAAGCTTATGGTGTATTTTTGATTACAGGAGTACATTGCAAAATGTATTCCTGTATCATTGGGAAACTAAAAATGCCAAAAAGTGTACCCCATAATTCTCTGTTAGGTAGACCTAGAGACAAAAAGAAAGACGTTTAAAGTAGGGTATACACGGTGTGAATTTCCTACGAAAGTATGTCTTTGCAACATTCATTTGAATATCTATCTGATTAGTACGGTGGAATTGACACACACGTAAACTACAATGTTCCCGGAAATTTTAATAGGAGCGTGTTGGAAAAGTTTTCTTGATTAAAAAAAACCTGTCAATGTGGTTTTCTTTCGGAAACTGCATTCATTCCAAAATAAAATGTGAAATAAAAGCAAACGTTAAATTTACATTTTGAATGACAATAGGCAAGTTTCTGAATGTTCCTACAGTTATTTTTCGTTCCAACGTTCATGCAAAAATCTACCTGTGTATACCCTACTTTTGTCTGCTGGTGCTGCTTGCTCAACCATTTTACAAGAATAACAATTTACTTAAGGTGCCCATACACCTATCGATTATCGTTCAGAAATCGTCCACGAATGGTCTTTTCGAACAATAATCAATCAGTTGATGGGACACCCAACGATTTTTTTACTGTACTCCTGGCTGAATTTTCTCAATGGGTGAAGCAAGAACAGTGTACATGCTCAAACGAAAATCCATTCTGTCGATCAACGAAATTCGGTCAGTTAGTATTGCTAACGAACGATTATCGAAAACGACATTGGTCTGTGCAGGAGGGGGTGTTTGAGCTCGAAGGAGGGTTCTTGGCTGCAATGAAAATTCCCGATCGAAAATCTATAGGTGTATAGCCAGCTTAACCTGTTCACTTGAGCAATCGTTCTCCAAATGTGATGGTCTGCTAGTTCTCCAGCACTTTCACTTCTTCCCCAAAGCGAAGGGTTTTATCTCTGACAGAGGCACTGTTGGACTGCCTTTGCTTAAGCAGCCAGGTATTGACTGCTCTGTACACAAAATCTGCCCTCAAAGGCAGTAAATAAGTGGAAGTGTCAGAAAAGTAGTGGCTGCTCGGACCTGGAGGGAATCCGATCCAGTAAACACATATATTTTAGGGCAGCAAGTATTATTTATTTTATAGGAGTACCAAGGTGGAGCACTTTAGCAGATAATCAGAGACTGTTTTGGTAGTCTGTTTGTTTCATTCTGTATAGGGATGCACAGATACTTTTCGAGTACCAGTGCAGATACTTGGCATTTTCATGAGAACTACCAGGGTTTCAGCGGTTGCAGCTGGGACCTGGCTCTGGCGCTCCACCACTGTCCTGAAATCATTAGTCTATATTGTTTTCGAAAAACTGTCACATGACAATAAACAAAAATGTATCACTACTCGTACTTGTAACTACTCGGCAAGTACCAGTACTCGAACTCGCAAAACTGGTATCTGTGGATCCCTTTTATTTATATTTATAAAAACAAAATCGTACATTAAAACATGTAGTCTTGTAGCTCAAAAGTATCGGTACATGTACTCGTACTTGTACTGAGTACTGTACTTGGTATCTGTGCAACCCTAATTCTGCACATATGTTTCTTTTCCTAAATGAACTATCTGCATAATTTTGATATTTTAGATATGCAATAAATTATCGTCAAAACATATTTAAAAAAAACTAGATTCACTGCCAAATACTGGTCCTGTTTTGTTTAGCTTTCATTGGCGCAGCAAAGTGTCAGATTAAAACTGGAAAGGCAACTCTGTTTCTTACTGTTAACCCCTAATGACTATTTTAAACTGTTGCTTTCATAACTAAAGTGATTCTGGTCAGGAGGCTTTACTTGTGTATGTGGTTTATAATCACCCTCTGTCAGGCAATGAAATGCTGGAGCCAGTAACAATTGCTTTCAGGAGGTAACGTATGCCTTCATAACAAAGCAATGTTCAGATAAAACTAATGTATCAAGTGAATTACTGTGATCAACAGTTACAGTTGCGGATATGGTGTGTTCAGGTTCCTCTTCACTACAGCCATTGGTAGTGCATATATTGTGATGCTTGATCACAATATATGCACTATGTAAATGGATGTGCACTCTTCAATGTACATTCCTCCCTTACGTGTGTGTGTGCGCAAGCGCTTAGTAGAGGCCATTTAACTGCTGATGAAGATTTAGGTTCATACACCTCCATCAGGATATAAATCAATGCACCCTAGGGGGTTAAGGAATATCTTAAAGAACATTATTTTAGTTTTGGGTAGAATTGGAGATTACCCCTGTCACATATTTTTGCAGTTTAGGACATACAGCATGACGTGAGAAAGAATTTCTGCAAAGTAAGGGAAATCCTCTCTTAATTGTCACTGGTGTCTCCATTGGAACTCTATTCTTGTTCTGGTGACACACCACAATAAATACTTTAGGGGCCCACGGTATCCAAAACAGAAAAATAATTTTATTTAGTTATTAGCAGAATTGTCAAACTGATGTTGCATGGAGTATTGGTATTCTGATTTCAATTTCTAAAAACAGGTAATGGCCGTCCTCTAATTTTTTACCTTTTTATTTTGTGTTTCCTTTCCAGCAAAAAATGGTCCTATTTATGATGTGGTGTGGAACAAAAATTCTACAGAATTTTGTGTTGTTTATGGTTTTATGCCAGCCAAAGCTACCGTTTTCAACCTAAAATGCGATCCTATATTTGATTTTGGGACTGGCCCTCGGAATGCTGCCTTCTACAGCCCTCAAGGACACATATTGGTGCTAGCCGGGTTTGGTAACCTGAGAGGTCAAATGGAAGTTTGGGACATCAAAAATTACAAACTTATTTCCAAGCCAACAGCTTCCGATGCAACCTACTTCGCCTGGTGCCCCAATGGGGAGCATATTGTCACTGCTACTTGTTCTCCGAGGTTGCGAGTTGGAAATGGTTATAAGATCTGGCACTACACTGGTTCTATATTACATAAATATGATGTGCCTGACAATACAGAACTGTGGCAGGTGTCTTGGCAGCCATTTACAGGTGGAGTGTTTCCAGCAAAGCCCATCGTTTATCAGCCCATACCTGGAGAAAATCCAGCAGAGGAGAGCAAACCAGCTCAAGCATACAGGCCGCCAGCACTGAGGAACAAGCCGGTCACTAGTTATAAGCTGGTAGGTATCAACAGTTCACCGAACAGCTTATTGCAGGATTTTGTTCTTTGCTTCTTTTCCTCTGGCACTGATCAAATTTAAAGCCAA